GGTGCTGAGGAATCGAACCTAGGGCCTCAGGCATGGAAGGCAAGCGCTCTACCACTGAGCCACCTTCCTAGCCCCCCAAAAGTATTTATAAATTGAAATTATTCACATTAAGAATATCTGGCAGGCGCCAGTGGCTCACGCCTATAATCCTAGCTAGTCAGGAGGCTGAGATCTGAGGATCACGATTCAAAGCCAGCCTGGGCAGGCAAAGCCATGAAACTCTTATCTCCAATAAAAACCACTAGAAAACCAGAAGTGGAGTTGTGGCGCTGTGGCTCACTGCAGTAGAGGGCTTGCCTTGAGCTGAAGGGACAACGCCCAAATCCAGAGTTCAAGCCCCACAACCAACAAAAAAAAAAAAAAAAAAAAAGACTATCTCTGGCCAGGCATGATGGCTTAAGTCTGTAATCCTTACAACTAGGAAGACAAAGATTGGGGGCTGGTGCTTCAAGGCCAGACTGGGCAAAAACAGGTAGCAAGACTCTATATTGACCAATGGTTGTATATGGTGGCTTCTGCCTGTCATTTTAGCAATGGGGAGAAGAGCCAACAGGAGGATCATAGTTCAGGCCTACCTGAGCATTAAGCAAGAGCCTATCTCAAAAACAAAAACAAAAACCAAACAAAAAAACCCACAAAGTGCTGGCAAAATGGTACAAGTGGTCTGCTTAGTTCAAATTAAGTACTACTCACTTAAAATATTCTTCAGTATATAAATTAATAAAAAAGAAAAAGGCATTTAATCATACCATAGCTCTTATAACTAGGCTTATTCTAAGTTCAAGTTTTAAAATAAAACATTTATAACTTACATACCTTATTGTATAGCTGAATAGAATCACTTTAATAAAATCGAATGGACTTTTGCCTATTTGAAACGAACTACATTAGGATTTCGTTAAAGCATTAAGTCATAAAATTTTAGTCAGTTGTTAAGGTTTTGCTTAACTTTTTTGTTGAGACAGTATCTTACTATGTAGCCCAACCTGGTCTCAAACTCAAGATCCTATTATCTCAGCCTCCCCAGTGCAGGGATTGTGAGTGTATATAACCACACCCAGGCATGCAACACGTGATCAAGTATCTTCCCGCTCCTTGTCTCTTTACAGTCTCAGCAAAATTCAACATATCTCCAAGCAGATCCCTATGATGTCTAAGGACTTTAATCTCATTGTTTCTACCAGGCAAACTAGCAGTTCCTCACAGTTAGCCCAGGGCTTAGAAATGCCCTCCAGCACACCTGAGATTGAGAACTGATGATAACAAAATTTAGGGCTCAAACTGAGAGGAAGAAAAATTTTCAGTTTCCTTCAATAAAAGAGGAGGCCATCACCTACTTAGACCACTATGGTGGCCAATGAGTTGGTGTGTTCTGAGCCTGGTACCATGCTGACACCAATATCAAGTTGGAGGAAGAAGCACAAAGTTTATCTGGGTCCCTAAAGATGAAAACAGTGACAGTTTTATAGAAAAAGAACGACAGGTTCTGGAGCCACAGTCTCTTAAACTTTACATAGGCTGGGGATACAATTATCAGCTACTATCTGCCATGAAACACAATGTAAGCAGTGACAGCAATAGAAGACAGTGGGTTTTTATCATCACTGACTTTAACACTGTCCCAAATGACTTGTCCGTAATTAAAATAAGCCAATGGCTCATACCTGTAATCTTACCTACTTGAGAAGCTGAGATTGAGAGGATTATTGTTTGAGGCCAGCCTCATCAGAAAAAAATCTTTATGTGTCCTTTCTCAACCAATAATTGGGTGCAGTGGCACATGCCTGGTTTCCCAACTACAGAATGATGCCTAAAATAGGGTGCGCACAAACCAGGCTTGGGCAGAAAGTGTAAAAAAGTGCAAAAAAAGGATGGAGCAACTGCCTATCAAGTGTTAGGCCCTGAATTCAAGCCCTAATACTGTGGAAAAGAAAAAAAGCATGGGAAGATACTCTTACTGCCTGAAGAATGTAATGGTTTTAAATAAAGATATAAATGCTACAACTTACAGAGCATTTACTCCTTGGAGTTACTTTTGTATAAGACGCTAAAACCAACTCTTCTATATTTAGAAAAAAAAGAACGAAAACCAAAAACCAAACCTCTAGCCAGACATTGGTAGCTCACACCTGTAAACTGAGGAGGCTGAGATCTGAAGACTGAAGCAAAGCCAGACTGGGGAAGGAAAGTCTGTGAGATGCTTCTCTTCAATTAACCACCACAAAGCCCAAAGTAGAGCTATGGCAGACAGTCTGGGTTGACTATACTTACTATAAACTCTACATTATGACCTGAGTCTCTAAAAGCTCCCTAATTTCAGTCACAGGATAACTTCAAAAAGTATTTATTAAATGGTTATACTGAGCTGTGATGGTACATGATTGTAATCTAAGCACACAGGAAGCTGAGGCAGAGGATTAAAAATTTGAGCCTAGCTTGGACTACTTAGTGAGACCCTATGTCAAAATACAAACAGAGGGCTGGAAAGGTAGCACAGTGGTAGAGTACTTGCCTTGCATGCATGAGGCCCTCAGCACTACATAAACAGAAAAAGCCGGAAGGGTGGTGCTGTGGCTCAAGTGGTAGAGTGCTAGCCTTGAGCTAAAGAGCTCAGGGACAGCTCTCAGGCCCATAGTTCAGGCCCCATGACCGACCAAAAAAAAATTCATAATTTTAAGAAAGCAGCTTTAACTTTACCACATTAACTTAAATATAGTTTTTGGAAAGGACAAAAAAAGGGCTTAGGTATAGTTTACTGATGTGAATTATATTTAACAAGTTTTTCTTATATTGTAGTACTAGGGATTGAACCCAGGGACTTGTGCCTGCTCAGCAAGTGCTTTACCACTTGAGCCATGCAGGTAGTCCTTTTGTTTGAGAAGAGTGCCTTGTTCCTTCTTGTCAGAACTGAGCTCAAATTCCTGTTCCTTCTGTTCCTAACTCCCAAGTAACTAGGATTACAGATATGAGACATCACACACAAATTATCAAACAGGTATTGTCCCCAATAAAAGTTTACCTGTATATTTGAATCTCCCTTTATACACTTTGCTCCTTCTATAATGGCCATATAAGAGAATCTGAGTTGATCTGGTGTCTGAATAAGTCCCATTCGGTATTTTCTCATATTCAGTAACACTTGTTTAATGTTAATATCATCTCCTTTTTCCATCTGTAAGTAAAATAAATCAAGTCTTTTTTATTATTAGAGTACAGCAAACAAAAGCAATACAAGATCAATGCTAGACTCTAGAAAAGCATTGACTTTTCAAGAATAATTTAATGCATTCCCCTATCTACTCTTTTTTTTGTCACACCTCAATTTTTCATGTAGTAAAGGATTTTTTTTTTTGGTGGGTCGTGGGGCATGAACTCTGGGCCTGGGCACTGTCCCTCAGTTCTTCAGCTCAAGGTTAGCACACTACCACCTGAGCCACAGTGCCATTTCCATAGTAAAGAATTTTTATTCTTTTTTTTTGGGGGGGTCCGGTAGTGGGGCCTGAACTCTGGGTCTGGGTGCTGTCCCTCAGCTCTTCAGCTCAAGGCTAGCGCTCTACCACTTGAGCCACAGTGCCACTTCCGGCTTTTTTCTTTTTGCTTATGTGGTGCTGAGGAATCAAACCCAGGGCCTCGAGCATGCAAGGCAAGCGCTCTACCACTGAGTCACCTTCCCAGCCCAAGAATTTTTATTCTTAAATGACTCATAACTAATTACAAGCCATAGTAATGCCATTTACTCTGGCTAATAATTGGTCAAAGGAAGGACTTATGACCAGTTCTGGCTAGTGTATGGGTAAATCTACTGTGATTAGTTTTTTTTAAAAGGGTCTTGGAAAGAGAATACCAATTTTTTACACATATTTTTGCTAAGTGCCCTTCTGCCCTCTTCATGTCTGCACTATAGAGGTGATGTCTAGATGTACAGTAGCAATCTAAAGATGTTAGAAAAGGTCAGAAAAAGCCTTAGTTCATGGCAGCACTGCTGAGCTACTGCACTAGCTCTGGACTATTGATATGGTTTTAGAAACTATCTTGAACTATAAAGATTTAAACTGCTTGACCAGTGAGTCACATCCTTACTTCATTTCATCTAGTTTTAATATTTACCACTAACAAAAAAGTTGTATGCACCTAGACCCCAGAAACAACAACCTCAGGTTAATTATTTGAGAATCTACTTTATGCTACCAGACATTTTACAAAGTTTAAGAATGCTGCCAGGTGTGCTGTTGGCTCACACCTGTAATCCTAGCTACTCAGGAGGCTGAGATCTGAGGGTTGTAGTTCAAAGCCAGCCTGGGCAGGAAATTCTGTGAGGCACTCATCTCCAATTAACCACCAGAAAACCAAAGTGGTGCTGTGGCTCAAGTGATAGAGCTCTGACCTTGAGTTGAAGAGCTTGGGGACAACGCTCAGGCCCAGAGTTCAAGCCCCACAGGGCAAAAAAAAAAAAAAAAAGGGAGATGGGTGCAAAGACACATTAACTGCATTTACAGAGATAGCTAAGAGACAAACCAATATAAGTAAGACAATACAGGACAAGTGCCCAGGGAAATGCCCAGGCCCAGAGTTCAGGCTTCAGGACTGACTGCTGCCCCCCCCAAAAAAAATAGCAAAGAAAATCAATTTCCTAGAAAGAGACAAAAAGGGCTAATCCAAGCTATGCCTGTGAACGGTCAGGAATCTGGGAATAACAACAAAATACTGGCAATCATGGAGTACTCAGAAAATATTATTAACTCACTGAATTCCATAACAATCTTGCAAAGTAAGTACAATTATCCTTCCTTAATAAATAAAGCAAAAGGGATGAAGTGCTTTTATGAAGAGAAAGGAATTGGCATTATATATAAATTTATATTTGAATGAGGGGGAAGCTATTATATCTGTAATACAAATATGTGGGTTTTTTTCCTCTTGTCTTCAGTCTCTATTTAGTCCATACTGGCCTTGAAATGGAAATCTTCCTGACTCAGCCTTCCAAGTGGTGAGATTACAGGCATGAGCCAATACCATGACCACCCTTTTTTTTTTTTTTAAGATAAACTTCTGAAGTATCTTTTCAATAATTTTAGACACATGAGAGTGAGAATGAGAGTTTTATGTTTTTCTAAAGAAAAGCAGCATCTTAACTTAAAAAGCTAGGTCCAAGGCCAGGTGCTGGTGGTTCATGTCTGTAATCCTAGCTACTCAGGGGACTGAGATTTGAGGATCACAGTTTGAAGCCAGACTGGGCAAGAGAGCTTGTGAGACCACCCAAAAACTCAAGCAGTAGCCTTGAGCAAAAAGTGGCTCAGAAGCTGGGTGCTGGTGGCTCACACCTATAATCCTAGCAACTCAGGAGGCTGAGATCTCAGGATCTCAGTTCCAAGCCAACCTGGGCAGGGAGCAGGAAAGACCAGGGGGCAGGAAAGACTGTGAGACTCTTATCTCCAATTAGCCACCAGAAAACCAGAAGTGGTGCTGTGGCTCAAGAGGTAGAGCACTAAGCCTTGAGCTGAAGAGCTGAGGGACAGGGCCCGGGCCCAGGCCCAGAGTTCAGGCCCCACAACCAACGAAAACAAAAACCAAAACCAAAACCAGCTCAGGGACAGTGCCCAGGCCCTTAGTTCACATGTCCAACACCAACAAAAAGCTAGTTCCAAAATATGAAAGTAGGAGACAAGAGTTTACTCTTGGCAGTACAAACAAGTCACATATACACACACACACAAATAATAACAAAGGCAATAAAAATCAGTAACACTGAAATGAGATCACAAGATGCACTTACCAGAACAAGACATGTGTCTACTAGAGAGAAGGTGCCAGAGCGCCCTATGCCTGCACTACAGTGGATCACTGCAGGCCCGTGGTCAGGGTTCAAGGAGCCAGATTCTCTCACTTTAATCAAGAAATTAAGAAATGAAGCTGGTGATTCAGGTACTCCAAAATCTGGCCAGGTAGTATAATGAAAGTGAGATATTGTTCTGGATTCACCACTCTAAAAAGTGAAAACCAAGGGAAGAGATGTTAATTCTACCATTTTTCTTTTAAAAAAAAATTATGTGTTTTGTATGATATTTTTAATCCCATGGGCTGTTTGTGCTACTTCCACTTGTTCCTTTTTTTTTTAAGCTGGTCGTGGGTCTTGAACTCAGGGCCTGGACGCTGTCCCTGAGCTCTTCAGCTCAAGATTAACGCTCTACCACTTAAGCCACAGGACCACTTCTGGCTTTTTCTGCTTATGTGGTGCTAAGGAATAGAACCCAGGGCCTCATGCATATGAGGCAAGCACTCTACCACTGAGCCACCTTCCCAGCCCTCTTGTTTTTCTTTTTGTCAGTCATGGGGCTTGAACTCTGGGCCTGGGCGCTATCCCTGCGATCTTCAGCTCAAGGTGAGTGCTCTATTGCTTGAGCCACAGCAGGACTTACGGTTTTCTAGTGGTTTATTGGAGATAAGAGTCTCACAGACTTTTCTGCCCAGGCTAGCTTCGAACCATGATCCTCACATCTCAGCCTCCTGAGTAGCTAGGATTACAGGTGTAAGCCATGGGCGCCCAGCCCTTCCTCTTGTTTTTGATAATCATGTACATAAGTTAGGGAAGATTTTCCTATGGGAATTTGGAATATATTAATAATAGTTAACACCATCATCATCACCATCATCATCAGCGGCAGCAGCAGCATTATTTTGTCAGTCATGGGGCTTGAACTCTGGGCTTGGGCGCTGTCCCTGCGCTCTTCAGCTCAAGGTGAGTGCTCTACCACTTGAGCCACAGAACCATTTCTGGTTTTCTAGTGGTTTATTGGAGATAAAGAGTCTCATGGACTTTCCTGCTTGGTCTGGCTTTAAACCATGATCCTCAGACCTCAGCCTCCTGAGTAGCTAGGGTTAAGGTGTGAGTCACAGGTGCCTGGCTCTAATATTATTTTTGAAGACTTGTTCTTAACTCATTACTTAAAAATTCAATTCATACAATTCTACTAAAGCCCATTTTATTCATACAATTCTATTTAAAAAAACCCACCGTTTGATGGATGAAAAATGTGAAGTAAAAAGTAAATTACCCAAGTTCACAGGGCTAGAAGATAGCAGAGCCAACATCTGACCGAGCAAACTAATAATGAAGCACTTGGGTTCTTTACTACTAACTACCATACACTCAATTGTCTTTCACAATATGTAGCTTGCTTTTCTCTTCAAAGTTTCTAACATTAATTTTTAAAAAAACAACAAGCTTTATTTTTGTTTTTGGTTGGTCAGGGGGTTTGAACTCTGGGCCTGGGTGCTTGCTGTCCCTCAGCTCTTCAGCTCAAGGCTAGCACTCTACCACTTGAGCCACAGCGCCACTTCCCGCCTTTTTTGTTTATGTGGTGCTAAGGAATCGAATCCAGGGCCTCATGCATGTTAGGCAAGCAATCTACCATTGGGAAGCCACCTTCCCAACCCCTACAAGCTATATTTTATAATTAGCATAAGCAGGAAAACTCAAGAATTAATTTAAAGGAACAATCTTTATATTTTCAATTGGAATTCCTCCTAATTGCTCCTTTTCCTTTTCTCTATGGTGATAATTTCCAATGCTGAAGCTGTTTATGCGCCTGTGCTGACTTGCTGAAATGGCTTACCAACATGCTAAATGTTTCCTGTCGCTTAACCCTGCCTGGCATCCACTATCACTTCCTGGATATTCCCGATGATCTTTATTTCTGAGCAGCTCATTACAAAAAACGTTCTTTAGCTTTCTGCCAATTGCCTTTTGCCCCAAGGAACACTTCTGCTAATTCTCTTCATCTCTATAAACAAAGCAGTGACCTGCTAATTTATCTTTGAACCATTTTCCCGTTTCATCAAAGACACTTATACAGGAAGCTGCTTACAAGCAGTATTTTGAAAACCTTCATAGGTTCAAAGGTTAACAGCTAAAGATTATCACTGTAACATATTGCTCATTTTCAAAATTTAAAAATTTCAAAATTAGAAGTTTGTGCTTTCATTAGAAACAAAACAAAAAGAAAAAAAAAAAAACAGCTGTGTGCCAGTGGCTCATGCCTATAATCCTAGCTACTCAGGAGAATGAAACAGGAGGATCGAAGTTCTAGGCCTGCCCAGGCAGGAAAGTTGATGAGACTTATCTCTAAAGTGTTATGGCTCCTAGAGTACTAGCCTTGAGCAAAAGCAGCTTAGGAACAGAGCCAAGGCCCAGGTTTCAAGCCCCAGGAATGGCAAAATAAAATAAAGTTAAAAACCTTTTGGGCTGGGAAGGTGGCTCAGCGGTAGAGCGGTTGCCTTGCATGCTCAAGGCCCTGGGTTCGATTTCTTAGCACCACATAAGCAAAAAGAAAAAAGCCGGAAGTGGCGCTGTGGCTCAAGTGGTAGAGCACTAGCCTTGAGCTGAAGAGCTGAGGGACAGCGCCCAGGCCCAGAGTTCAGGCCCCACGACCGGACCCCAAAAAAAAAAAAAAAAACCTTTTATTTTTTAGTAGAAATTAAGACTGTTGGGCAGGGTGACACAACTCAATGGTGGAGTACTTAACTAGAATATACAAAGTATGGGGTTTCATCCTTAGCACTAAGGAAAACAAAAAACAAAAAAACCCTTGAAGTTGAGACTCAGACATATAAGGTTAATAACTGAGTGCAGAAAAACCAACCAGCTAGGCACCCCAGTGGCTCATGCTTGTAATCCTAGCTAGTAAGGAGGCTGAGATCTGAGGATCACGGTTCAAAGCCAGCCGGGGCAGCAAAGTCCGTGAGACTCTTTTTTTTTTGGGGGGGGGGGGGGGGGGGGGGGGGGGGTTGTGGAGCCTGAACTCTTGGGCCTGGGCACTGTCCCTGGGCTCTTCAGCTCAAGGCTAGCATCCAACCACTTGAGCCACAGTGCCACTTCTGGCTTTTTCTGCTTATGTGGTGCTGAGGAATCGAACCCAGGGCCTCATGCATGCAAGGCAAGCACTCTACCACTGAGCCACCTTCCCAGCCCCTCTGTGAGACTCTTATCTCTAATTAACCACCAGAAAACCAGAAGTGATGCTGTGGCTCAAGCGGTAGAGTGCTCGCCTTGAGCTGAAGAGTGCAGGGATATTGCCCAAGCCCAGAGTTCAAGCCCCACAACCAACAAAAAACAAACAAACAACAAAAAACCCAAGACAAAAAAATTTATCTTTTAGTGGTGTAGTGATCTTATTTATTTGGAGAAAGGGCCAAATGCTTGTCTTATTTATTGATTTATTTAACTTTACTTGGTACTAGGGGTCAAACCCAAAGCCTAATGTGTATCTGGTAAGCGCCCTATTGCTAAGCAACATCTCCAGCACATCCACTCCTGCCTCAGCTTCCTGAGTGTTGGATTACAGACCTGTTTGGCATGACTTACTTTTAATATCTAGTTTTAATATATTGTGAACCACAGGTTCTCAGCCTATTGAAGACATTAGATTTCCTCACTAATTAAACTGATTGTGATTCTAGACTTCAAAACATTTCCTTAATTTTACTTTATTGTTAAATTTACTCAAATTTATTCTCTCTTGCATTATTTATTGCCTTTTCATTGCCATGTCTCCATTTGGAATTATTTTTAATTAAATTTTTATTATTATCTTTAAAACAGTTGTACAAGGGAGCTGCCATTTAACAAAGCAGTTTATGAATATGAATACAATATATCTTGATCAATGTCAACTCTTAACATTCTCACCCAACCCTCTCTTACCCCACCCCTTCCTTCATCCTCAATTTTGTAGGATAAACAGGATTCTTGACTGCATTTCCCCCCACTCTTCTCTTCCTCATTCATCTACCTTTTCCCCTTGACCCCACCCCACCCCTTTTGAGTGCTCTTGGTAAGGAAATGTATATATACATAATGGTATTTTACTCATCCCTTAGAAAGAATACTATTGTAGCATCTGCAAAGAAATGAAAAGACTTGGAAAATAATGTGTTAAGTGAAGTTAGTCAGGCCCAGAGAGACAAAGGGCCCATGTTTTCCCTTCTATGTGGAAGAAGACTCAGCTTACAAACTCATTAAGTAAATATTGTGGGTGGTGTGCAAGTGTATACAATATGTACTAACTGAAATACACTAGATTCAAGGGAGATCTCAAAAGATCTCAAACAGTAGAAAGCCAAAATCAAAGTTCAGCAAAATTTCCTTCCTTCCTTCCTTCCTTTCTCTCCCTCCCTTCGTTCCTTCCTTCCTTTCAGTTTAGGATTGAAACCAGGGCTTCTGGGAGCCACCCCTGTCAAGATCCTAAAGCACCCGACTCCTCCACCCTCCCACTAGTCCTGAGGCTTAAACTCAGGGACTGGTGTTGTCCCTCAACTTTTTTTGCTCAAGGTTAGCCTTCTACCTCTTGAACCACAGTTCCACTTCTAGCTTTTTGGTATTTTATTGGAGATAAGAGTCTTGTGAACTTTCATGCCTGAGCTGATTTCAAACTACGATCTTCAGATCTCAACTTCCTGAGTAGCTAGTATTACAGGCATGAGCCACCTGGCCCAAAACATTTCCCTTTAAAGTATTATTGTAATAGGGGTTTGAACTTAGTCTCCGTTTGCTAGGCAGAGCTCTATCTACCACTTAAACCATTTCAGCAGTGCCTACAGTTCTTGTTTTTGTTCTTTTTCAAATAGGTTTTGTGGGAGGGGGCGAAGAGGGGGTACTAGAGTTTCAATATAAGGCTTCACACTCCTTAGGAAAACCCACTACTACTAGCCATGCCTCACTCCTTTTAAATTCAGGACTAATTACGCCAAGTGAAAAGAAGCCAAGCTGTAAAGTCTGTACATCACATTTTACATTTATGACATTCTAGAAAATACAAAATGAAGACAAGATTAGTGACTGCTTCACGCTGGGGATAAGGGACAGGTCTGATTATATGAAGGCAGCACAAGAAAAATTTGGAGGTGACAGAATAATTCCGCATTTTTACTATGCGTCTGGTTATATAACTGAATGCAATGTTTAAAGTCATACAACTACAAGACCAA